GAGTAAATGCACACGTTGATACAGAATTGAGGGACGATACAGAAGCTTTGACCGGAACGGTAAAGAAAAAAAGAGCCTGGAAGAAAGTACATCACAAATATCACGATCCCTAGCAATCGCAATTTGCTGTGGCAGAGGAAACCGCCAAAGTTGTTGACATGTGATGATGCCACTGCTCTGTGACATATATGCTGTGTATGCTTGTGTTTTAAGCATTTGTTTTGATTTCTAATAGGTGAATATGGATAAATGTACCCCTACAAAAAAGCCCTTTGTGGCCTTCAGTCATTGTAAGAGTGTAAATCAAAATGTTTGAGAACTCCTGAACAAGGGCATAGAGGAGGTGAAGTGGAATGTTATTATGGTTTGGGAACTTGCAGTATTCTTTAGAACATTTTATTTATTTATTTATTTATTTATTTATTTATTTATTTATATAAAGTTTATTTATTTTCGAGAGAGGTTGAGCACAGGAGAGAGAGAGAGAGAGAGAGAGCGAGCACATGCGGGAGGGGCAGAGTGAGAGAGACAGAGAATCCTAAATAGGTTCTGCTGTGTCAGCACAGAGCCCCAGACGGCGGGGGGGGGGGGGCTCAAACTCGCAAGCTGCTGTGAGATCATGACCTGAGCCTAAAACAAGAGTCGGATGCTTAACTGACTGAGACATCCAGGTGCCCCATCATTAGGACATTTTAGAATTAGGAATGACCTTAAACATTTTTAACCGGCTTTAATTTAGGGCGCCTGGGTGGCTCAATCCAGTCACTTGATTGTCCAACTCTTGATTTCGGTTTAGGTCATGATCTCAAGGTTGTGGGATAGAGCCCTGAGTCAGGTTGCTTGCACGTGTGCGCACTCTCTCGCTCTAAAACTAATTAGTTTATTAACTGGCCTTAACTTAAAAAAATTCCATCTGTTTTTTCCTCATAACTCTCCTTCATCAAGGTCCTCATACTGTAGTACTTCACTTGGTCTGTTTTACTGGATCTTGGGACTAGAGGATTCTAATATTTAGGCTCTTCTCTTCCCTCTCCACGTCCAGATTGACCTATCCTGTGTTTAGTTTCCTAGGACCCTGGTGATAGTGGACTATAAGGATTAATGAGGAAGCTTTCACAGGAAATAACTTGCATTTTTAAAAAAGAGTCTATATTTAAAATTGTTAATGTTTTTATTTATTTTTGAAACAGAGAGAGACAGAGCATGAGCAGGGGAGGGGCAGAGAGAGAGGGAGACACAGAATCCAAAGCAGGCTCCAGGTTCTGAGCTGTCAGCACAGAGCCCGACACAGGGCTCGAACTCACAGACCTGAGCCGAATTGGATGCTCAGACTGAGCCACCCAGGTGCCCCAAAGATTTTATTTTTTTAAGTAATCTCTCTCCCCAACATGGGAATCTACAACCCTGAGATCAAGAGTTGCATGCTCCATTGACTGAGCCAGCCAGGTGCCCCCCAGTTTGCATTTTTAATACAATTTTGAAGACACAGTTACTTCATTCAGCAGAATTATTATTTTGGTCAGAGGAATGAGGAAGGTGAAGTAGGTAGAAATCTTCTAGGAATAGCTTGAGAATCCCTACAGACTGAGTCACAGGCTCCACAGGGTTAATAAGTTTCCTTGGAATGACAGTAGCTAAAGGCAATTTCCACTGCAGCTACAGCACTCTGGGGACTGCCCAACCCGGATGCTGTTCAGCATCCTCCTCTGGCACTGACGAACCTAATGTTTCCCGTGGCCAGTGGTGTGGCTGGTGACTGACCAGGGTTATAGCTTTATAACCTGTGATAGTTACCCACAGTGCCTCACAGGAAAGAGGTAGCCTTTTGAAAACATGAGGCTCATACACAAAGATTTTATCTCATAGACATTATGGAAGACAGGGTCTTATTTCCTTTGCAATAGCTTATTTTCAATTCCATTCTTCTCCTTTTCTTTTTTTTTTTTTAATTTTTTTTTCAACGTTTTTTATTTATTTTTGGGACAGAGAGAGACAGAGCATGAACGGGGGAGGGGCAGAGAGAGAGGGAGACACAGAATCGGAAACAGGCTCCAGGCTCCGAGCCATCAGCCCAGAGCCTGACGCGGGGCTCGAACTCACGGACCGCGAGATCGTGACCTGGCTGAAGTCGGACGCTTAACTGACTGCGCCACCCAGGCGCCCCGCTCCTTTTCAAATTTAAATGGTAGTATTCTCTCTCTCTTTTAAAATAGGCTTTATTTTTTAGAGCAGTTTTACATTCACAGCAAAAGTAAACAGAAAGTACAGAGAGTTTTCATATATATTCTGTCTTCATGAACACACACAGCCCCCACTAGTAATATCCCACATCACAGGGGTACATTTGTTACCTCTGATGAACATATATTGAGACCTCATAATCATCCAAAGTCCATAGCTTATATCAGTGTTTACTCTTGGTTGTACATTTAACATGTATCCACCACTGTAGTATCATACAGAATAGTTTCACTGCCCTAAAAATCCCTCTGTGCTCTGCCTTTTCATCCCTCTGCCTCCCCAACCCCTGGCAATGAATATTTTCACTCTCTCCATTGCTTTGCCTTCTCCAGAATGTCATATAGTTGGAACCATACAGTATGTAGCCTTTTCAGAGAGATATCCTCTTTTATGATTTCTTTTCTTCCTTCTAGATTGCTCATATTGGCCACAGAAACAGATGGTGGTTGATAAATAAAACGAAAAAGCAAGCTACAAAGTGTAGCCTGGGGAACTCTTGCATCAGCATCACATACAGTGATAAAGCCCTGAGGTAGGGAAGAAAATAGACCTTTGTGGTTAGAAAACAGCATTTAGAAGCTGGCAGGCGAGCCTTCCAAAGAGAAGCAGGGCCTACAGTTTGTGCAGGGCTTTGCAAGTCAGGCTAAGGCAATGGAGTTTCTTCAAAGTGCAATAGGAAGCTTTTAGGAGGGTTTTGAGCAGAAAATGATCTCATTTCCTTTTTTTTTAAATTAAAAAATTCTTTTTAATGTTTATTTCTGAGAGAGATGGGGTGTGTGGGGGGGAGGGGCAGAGAGAGAGGGAGACACAGAATCTGCAGCTGCCTCTAGGCTTTGAGCTGTCAGCACAGAGCCCAACACCAGGCTCGAACCCATGAACCATGAGATCACGACATGAGCCAAAGTCGAATGCTTAACTGACTGAGCCACCCAGGCACCCGGATCTCATTTTCATTTAAAAAATAACACTTTGAGAGGCAGAAGTGACTGTAGGTGGATACAAGGAACAGTCCCGCTCCCTGGTAGGGAATTATTACAGTGGCCCAGGCAAGAGATGATGGTGGTTCGGTCTAGAGTAATGCTATTAGTAAAGCTGCTGGTGAGAAGCATAGAAATTGAAGACATATTATGAAGGTAGAATAGCTCAGATTTGTTAAAGGATTGAACAGGGTATAGAAGGCAGAGTTGGGGGGTGGGGAGAGTATGGAAGAAATGCAATTTGCTGGTTTCAGGAACTGGAAGATTTACCAAAATAGTAAAGACTGAGATGGGGGAAGAAACAAGCATGTGTGAGTATGCAGTGGATGAGGGGGAAGAAGAAGGAGTGCTGCACATGTAAAAATGTTTTACACATTACATTTCCCCCAACATTTTCTACTGAGCATTTTTTTTTTTTTAATTTGAGAGAGAGAGAGAGAGAGAGAGAGAGAAAGGGGCAGAGGGAGAGAGAGCAAGAGAGAATCTCAAGCAGGCTCCATGCAGGTTTCAAACCCCCCCCCCATGCCGGCATCATGACCTGAACCCAAACCAGGAGTTGGACGCTCAACCCACTGAGCCATCCAGGCGCCCTTTACTGAACATTTTCAAACAGCAAATTGGAAAACAATTTTACAGGGATTACCCATATATAACATCTACAATTAACATCTTAATATACTTCTATACATTTGTCTATGCCTCCATCCGTCAGCCCATCTTACTGTTGTAATACATTTCAATTGCAGACATCAATGCGCCTCCCTCTGCATACTTCAGCACGCATGTCATCTATTTCCAGTTTCTTTCTTTGATATGTGGCTCCTTACATAAGGTGAAACGCACAAATCAGAAGTGTGCATTCATTGAGTTCTGACACATGGTCTAACTTTTCATTACCTTAAATTTAAGATGCTTAAGGAACATCGAGCTGGCATAATCAAATGGGCTACTGAAAGCAGAAATCTGGAGCTCAGAGAGGTCTCGGTTTGAAGTGTAAATCTGGCAATCCTCAGAGCACAGGTCCATTTGGGCCAAGCTTGGAAGAAATAACCTGTGTAAGTGCAGAGGAAGAAAATGGGATTCACTCCTCAAAGACTCCTTAAAGGTAAGAACGGGCTGTCGGTAGAGAGAGTGACCTGTAGAGAGGTGAGGCCCCGGGTCCGGAAAGGCCGGTCTGTTCCGCGCCTCGGGGCGGTCCTTGGTAGCAATCGGAGGTGACCCGAGGTGTCATGTGGGGGGTTAGGAGGGGACGATTTGGGGTGCCCTGAACTGTGGCGGGGTCACCTGGAGGAGAGGGAAGAGGGGAAAGAAGAGAAAGGATTTGGGAGGAAATGGGGAAGGGGGGTGGGGATCTAGGCTGAAAGAAGCGAGAAACGAGGGAAGGCGAGAGCAGGCGGCAGCGAGGGGGCGGAGTCGCCGCTGCGGCCGGCCGAGGGGCGGGCGGAGGGAGGGGGTGTGTGCGCGGGTCACATGGTCGCAGCTGCCCTCCCCGTCAGCCGCCCTCGCCGCCGCGGTGCGCTGGCTGCAGGAAGCCGCCGCGCCGCCGCTTTTGTTGTCAGGGACTCCGCGAGGAGCGCCGCTCGCCGGCCGCCGCCGCCCTTTCTCACTGCAGCCCGCTCTCCGGCCGCGGGGCCCGGGTTCCGGGCGTCCCGACCGCCCTGCCCATGAGGGGGCTCCGCGACCACCGCTGCCTCCAGCCCGGGGCGGCGCGGCGCTGAGGCGGAGGCGGCGCTGCCACCTCTGCGGGAAGCGGGCAGCTTCTGTCCCCTCCCGGAGGGCACCATGGAGGTGAATGCGGGTAAGAGCAGGACTGCGGAGGTTGGGGGCACGGCGGAAGGGGCGATCGGAGCCCGCTGGGGCACTTCGCGGGGCGGCGGCAGGGGGTGGCCCCAGGGCTGGTAGGGTGGGCTGCTGCGCGGTGCGTCCTGGCTCGCGCCCGGTTCCCGCGTCGCCCCCGGGGCCGCTCCACGGCCGCCCTCCTAGCTCCCTGCAACGCCGCAGCGCGGCCCGGCGGCGCCGGCCCGGCCCCCCCCTCACATGGCCCGGCCGCGCGAGCCACGTGCGCGCTGTGTTTACGTTCGGCGGCGCGCGGGCGCCGGTTGGCTGGGCGGGCGCGTGACGCGGCATTACATAATGGGCGCTGAGGCGGCGGCGGCGGGCGGGGACACGTGAGGCCGCTCGGCTCGGTGACCCACATTCCCCGGGGCCGCAGGGACACGTGGGGGCGGGTGCGCGCGCGCGCCGGCGGGGAGTGCCGCAGCCTTCCGGGAGGCCCCGCCCCCTTGGAACCCTCCGGGCTGTGACGTGGCCGCGATTCCCTCCTCCCCCGCGGGGTTGCACACTGCGGAGGAGGCCGCGCGTGCGCGTGCGGTGAACCTCGCGCCCGGGCGGTCCCGAGGCGGGCGCGGACGCCGCAGTGCCCCCGCTGCCGCTTTCGCGTCGGGGAGGTGACCCCGACGCGCGGAGCCGGGGCCGGGCAGACGCACCCGCAGCAGACCTTGCGGATGCTGAGGAAGAAGTGCGGGGTCAGGGCGCACCGTTGGCCGAGAAAGGTTCCTCGGGGAAGGCTTCGTGCTTCCCAACGCGAGACGCCTTAAAAGAGCTCTGAGGTGCTTCGATGTCGAGCAACGCCGTGCACTTGGAACGGCACTCGCCCTTGTGGTGCTGCTTCACTGTTTCCAAGAAAAATGGTTTGCTCTAGGATGTGACCTATCTTACACACCCTAAGTCATAAAAATGTCTCGAAGATCCCCTAGGGCTGGGAGCCTATAGATCACACCCATAGCTAATCATTCAGATCACGTAGGGTCAGGATGACTCAGGTGATCCTAAGTGAGTCCCAGACTTTATGAAAGGCTGGTCATTGTTTATTTCAGTTAATTTTTTTAAACGCATTGGTTGCCGACCTTTCTTGAACCTGAGAAACAGAATTTGGCTTTATCAGTATTTTGGTTACATTTCCTGTTACAATGCCAGAGAACAATACTGTATTCCCTTCCGGCCTTGTGTCTGCCCTCAATGATGACCCTCACGCCTGAAGCCGGTGAGGTTACAGAAGAAGCCAGTTTATATTTTTTAAGTTGTTATGTGCGCTAAAACCCATGCCTCGAAGACCAACGTGTTTTGAGTTTTCCACCAACAGTAAAAATAAAGTGTTTTCTGTGTTTTAATTACCTCTGAGTCTGCTTACCTTTTGAGGATATTTTTTAAACATAGGGTAACTCTCATGGAATTCAGCTTTTGCTTGATAAGAATTTAGAAATTACCAGATTGAACTTATTTTAAGCCAGCCTTTAGCCTGAATGAATTTTTCCAGCTCTGCAGCCTCATAAGGTGGGCTAGCCCAGGTGACTAGAAAGTTTTTGTCTGGTTTGAACCTTCCTGGAACAGTATCACTGATTTTAATCTTGCCTTTCAGAGCTACAAATAATAAAACTTCCTTTGGGTGACTGTTGAACATACCAACCACCCCAGTCAACATACCACCCCACTCGTTCCGTTTTCAGTTCTCATTACTTGGTCCTTGCTCTGTGTTGTTTTGATCATCATCCTTGTTGCCCTTTGGGCTGTAGCACCCAGTAGTGAATAGCCTCCTGCGGAAACGGTTGGAACGTTACCAAGTTCCGAGTTTTGGATTCTGCTGCAAATGAATTCTCTGGCAGGCTGAGCTTTTGTGGCTTATTCGCTTTGCTGACTCACAGTAACCTTGCAGTAAACTAGAACCTTTTCACGCGAACTGTTTTGAAGCTAGGTTTCCTCCGTTGTGCAGATAATTGACCTGAAGTTGAGGAATTTGCAGTGACCTTATTTTCTCTTGTTCCTTTTGGCTTCATGTTCAACCTTTCTCAAGGTATTATCCAGTATACTAACAATTTCTGCCATGTATCTGTTAGAGGGAGAATTGATAAGCTTTCCCTTTAACTTCCTTCAGGTTGTAAATGTTGACCAGGGCTGAGCCAAATCAAGTGCTGTGTGGCACACCTCTGACCCATCCCTTTTTGACATGATCGTATCAGTACAATACACATTCAATTAGTGACCATTTCATCTAACTGTCCTATAATTCATAACATACTATGTCTCTGTCTTATCCATGACTAATGTAGATGTGAAATAGTGAAGTGGCAGAAATTGACTCCATACGTTTTTGTCACAGATCCTGAGTGAGTATACCAGGTTCTTTAAATAACTCACTGCACAAACTTCATAACCTTGGCTGTAACTCACATTTTAAGAATTAGGAAAACATTCCCACATGGTTCATTCTTGTTTTTACAAATCTGTATTTCTCCTAAGTTAGAAAGAAAATGTCAGAGAGAGGTAATGGGAAAGAAGTCACTTGGAGAGAGAAAAATCAAGATCATGGGAAGACTCGGAAGTAGGAGGTTGCTTGACTAGTCAACGGAGTTAAGGGATTCTGAAGGTAGTGTAGAAATAACCTACAGGGAAACCACTGGGTCCATATACCACATTCAGAATTAAAGGAAAGAAGAAAGGATAGGGAGGGTTAGTTTTCTTTGAACACTTCTGATTGAACTCTTCAGTATGATGGTAAAATAATAATCACCAGTAAATGTCAGGTACATACTATGTGCTAGGTCCTTTACATATGTTACTACTTTGACACCTCATGTTAATTTTATGAAGGTACTGTTGTCACCATTTGAAGATGAAGGGCTAAGTCGATTGTAGTTAATTAACTTATCCAGGCAGGTGATGGAGCCAGATTTTGAATCCAGAAAGTCCACTTGGGGAGCACAAGCTACTTTATGCCTTATTAGGTTTAAGTCCACATAGCATTTGATGGTATATGCACAACTTGGTGGTCCTGTCCTCTTGGGGGTGAAGGAGATGGATCCACTTGGTTTGTAATGGTAGAGGGTCATCGCTGGTGGAAAAGGATGGGTGGCAGTAGAGCCTCCTAATTTCATCATTCCTGTCTTTTAATCTTTTTGCTGGTCAATCTATTTTTTCGCCAGACACTAGATTACACTAGTGCCCCCCACCCTAGCAATTTGCATGGAGACAAAAATACAGTTTTGCAAAATAAGATCCGATTTTTCAGTCACCCATTTTTTGTTTTCTTAAATCTCTTTACATGGTACGTCATTTAATAATTTGCATGTGTTTCAAGACCCTACTTATTGTCCCCTAGCTTTGTTTGCCCCTCTTGATCTTTGCCTTCTGTAGTACTCTTGTGTGATCCTCAGTGGTTCACAGTAATTTATATGAAACAGTGCTCTCACATTGCACTGGAATGAATGGTTAACACAGCTCTTTCTTCAATTGGTCTACAGGGCTTTTTAGGGAAGGGACCATGCTGTTCTCTGGAGCCCTGACACTCAGGACACAATGGGAAGTTTAGTGCTTGAATTAGATCTATTTTACCATCCTGTGAGTAGAAATTGTTAGTAACCTACTTTTAAAATGAGAAAACCAAAACTTCTTGATGGTTTCATTCTAAGTCACAAGGCACAGTCATGAGTTGAACTCAAGCATACTTTCCAGGATGGTGGGCAGTGGGAGTGGGAGGGTTTTGGTGATGGGCAAGCCTAGAATTGGGGTAAGAAAACCCCAATATATGGCCAACAGTAAGTGCTTCCCAGCAGTATAAAATTAGATATTGACTTCTAGCTTGTCTGAAGTTGACCACTGGGTAAGCCCTTGCCTGGGAACCTGGCTCAGCTCCAGGGATTTTTTTTTTTTTTTTTCCCAGCTAAAAATAGAGAAGACTGTCTCAGCTAATTTTAGCTTGAGGCATCTAAGAAGTACATTCTGCCTGTTTCTGGAAGTGTTGGGACTTGCTGGTTCGGGGATTTTACCTTTCTTGCATTATCATCAAAAACCTTATGTGTAAAAACCACTTTAATAATCACCTTGTATGAACACTACACTTCATTTTAATCTTGTAATAAAGCTGGCAGATATGCTCATTTATATAGAAGGTAACTCAGATTTAGAGAGAACGAAAGTGACTTGCTTGCCCAGGTCTTCACAGTAAGAAATGATAGTCTGTATTCTGGCCTGGGTCTCTACTCCTGGCTCTGCCACTTAGCAGCTGTATTTATATTAAACCTCTCTGAGTTCTAAGTTCCTCATGTGAAAAATGGGATAATGGAAGTTAATTCTTGTGAGGTTGAAATGTGACATGAAATTGTGTCATTTTATTCTTGGCATTTGGTAGGTACTTTGTGACTTGTAGTTTTCACTTCCCTTCATTAGGCTGAGGAAGTATTAGATTAGTATTACTCTCTTGGAAATTAAAATGTAACCCATTTGGGTTACTAACCATCTGGACAGTAGGTTGGTGTCTGGTAGCAAGAGTAGATGCTAAGACCGCTAAATCAGTGTCGAAGGGCTTGCTAGGAGAATGTAGCTGCTTCTAGATGGGTCATCTTTGATACCATGGTGCCTGGCACAAATGCTTGTCATAAATGATTGTTAAACTCCCTAAAGATAGGAATTGGATATTAACTGGACTGATACTAGCTCAGTAATTTTTCTTAGATTTGATTTTGGAGGTTTTGAAAGGAAGGTGCATTTTGTGTAGTTAGTAACAATACCTTCCCAGTCAGTGCTTTAATTCCTTCCATTGCCCAGCCATTAGGGATAGCTCTGATTTCTGCAAATTTATTTCTGAGGTGAGGTAGTCAGAAGACCTTGTGAACATACATGGCTCTCTCAAATGCTGGTCCCAAGAAAGTCTTACTTTAAGGAAAACTATTAGTTTCTCATCTTGCGTCATCTTTAGATGTAAGGAAGTGAATTTACCACCTAAAGTGGTAGTACTTTAAATGAGACAAATAGCTGTGAGACCTTCCTCTGGGAATTTATTGAAGACTAATATTTTCCTTTGGATTCAATTCTGGGTGTACACACGTGAAAAAAGTCGCAGTTTGCTAACACTTGGAATTTCGGATATGAACTTCTAAAGTTTTATGAAAACATGGTTTTACCCAGTAATACGACATTTGCTAGCTTTCCAAGTTAAAATTGTTTCTCTCTGGATTCACAATGTATTAAGGGTATTTAGGCAGTTATGTCAATGAAAACATCAACTTTAAAAACTATGAACCAATTTGTGCTTTAATTCAGTGATTGTAGCTATTCCTAAACTTCAACATTGAAACAAATTACCTAGGGAACTTGTTAAAAATTAAAAATGCTCATTCCTGAGGAGTCTTCTCTAGTTTCTGCAGGGCCTTGGAAACATGTATTTTGAAAAAGCACCAGGTTGTTCTGATGATACATATTTTACATATGAATTTATGAGAATAAACTCAGAGTTAGGAAGCTTTCCTCCTTTATATTTGGTTTCTTAGGAGCTTTCAAAATTAGCGGTAGATGAAATTTCTCTTACTGAGATTACCCTTGGTTGTATTTTCTTCCATTGAGCACAGGTAAAGACATTGGCTTGTGACAGTCCCAGTTTTACTGTGTAACAGCTTTATTGTGTATCAGTATCACCAAGAGGTTGCTTAAAGTTTCTGATTGAGTAGATCTGGAGTGGGACATGAGAACTTGGATTTCTAACAGATTTGTAGGTGATGCTGAAGCCCTTCATCCAGGGATCACACTTTGAGAATGACTGGTTTATAGGTGGGGAACACATTGCAGCTCTAATAGTAATCATAAAGCTCTGGTTTCGCTCTGGAAAGATAAGCACATGCCAAGAGAACATCTGGGAGGTGGGTTAGTCTAGAAAGAACAGTCACTCCTCCAACTTCAAGACTCATGGCAGGCATGTGCTTAGTGAATGGAAAAGTGGATGGAATTCTCCACATTATTTATATTTTTGTCTTTAAAATTCAAGTACATTTAGTTGCATTTGTGTATAGTAAACTCTTCTGTTTTTCCTGGCATAGTAGGTGCCATTTTAACTTCTCTTTTGGGTTGTGACCAAAATCCCTAAGAGTAATGGTTTTGCTTTACTTCTCAGGAGCTTCCCATTCTGGGTATGTTTAATTGGTACTTAACTACACGTCTGGTACCTTATTTCAACACTACAGACTAAAAGTGACTCAATATTCCTCTGCCCATTTTTAAATTTTCTGTAGATGGAAATGTCTTTGTCTTTGGAATTGGTTTGGCCTCAGCATATTGTGTGTGTGTGTGTGTGTGTGTGTGTGTGTGTGTGTGTGTGTGTGTGTGTGTTTTGACTTATAAAGTGTGGCTGTTATCTAAAAATAAAAAGATCGGGGAATCACATCTCAGAGAAGGTTTTTATTTCAGAGTGAGTACTTAAATTGCAGTTGTTACTTAGGTAATGTGTAGAACTCTCCACTTATTACTCTGTATAGTTAGATTGTTGTCAGAAATGCCTTGTTTTGCTTATGACTTCCTAGTAATGCTTTATGCTGTTTGGGATTTGTCCCTGTTATTAAATGTGGGCTTCAGAAAGGCAGAGAAGTAGGTCTTAAAAATATCTATGGCAGGCTTATTACCTGTAAAGCATGTATAGAGAATTAAGAGACACTGTGTACCTGCACCTAGGTGCTTATGGTCTGGGTGAGAAAGAGATGGAAACAGGTAAACAGTAGGTTTGTTTAAGAGTTCAAGACAGTGATAGAAGAGATAATTTTACCTTTATATCACAATGAAAAAGCCCACAAATGTTTGTTGATGATAGAGGAAAGAGGAAAAGAAACCACAGATCTTGGCAGAAGAGATAAGAATTAGTTGTTTGGCCTGCGACTTGGAAAAATAATATATTTGGCTATGAGATTACTTTTGCAGCACTTTGCATCTTTGAAGGAAGATGTTTGAAATTATACCCTAAAAAGAATTTTAAATCTTATTTCTTAACGTGGGAGGTTTACAGTCTCTAAGCGGGCAAGGCCAGTTTTCACAGGGGTTGTGGAGGTTATATTGGTGAAGTTGTGAATGGTATTTTGAGAGTAGCTCTGTGGAGAGAGAATTAGCATCAGCCTTAATGTTATTCTCTTATAGCATGCATTCTTTCAGCCTCTTTAACATTTATTGTAAGTAGCGAGTCAGAAGAACAAGTGGCGAGTCTGGAATCCTTAAGAGCTGTTTACAGGTAAGTGTGTCTGCAAATCTAGTGGCAGAAACAGGTGGAGAAGGGAGAGCGTGGAACTGGTGATCAGTGGATAGTGGTAGAAGTCTTCAGCATCAAAACAAAGATTCTGGTAGCAAAAGGATGAAAAGTTTCCCATTTTGACATAAATTATCTGGAGTTCCAAGTATTACATCTGTTTTTGGTTAACCTATGTTTTAGCCAAGTGCTGGGGGAGGCAAATGCTGAAGTCATTGTTTCTAGGGTTGTGTCACATAAAGGTATAATGAAGGAGGCAAAAAGAGGACCAGAAATAGATTTCTTCATGGATGAAACAGATTGTTCACTCTAACCTGTGTAGTCACTCAGGAAGGTTTTTCATTCCTTTTAGAAAAAAAACTGGAAAATGAAAAGCTTTAGGTTCAGATCTTTCTGTGTTCAGAATAACTAAGCCAGTGAGAGCCTTTTCATTTTTTGAATCCGTGGAAGTGATACGTTCTTTGAACTTTGTGGAAGCAGGAAGAATTAATAGTAGGTAATAAGGAAATAAGTTACTTTCTCCTTTTTGGGTCAACTGACATTTAGTCAGCAACCTGTTTCTAAGGTTAGTGATTTTACTGTTCAGATTTCAAAAAGGAGAAAACATACTGTGTATCTAATTAATCTGAATTCTCCCATCTTTTTCTAGGAGGTGTGATTGCCTATATCAGTTCTTCCAGCTCAGCCTCTAGCCCTGCCTCTTGTCACAGTGAGGGTTCTGAGAACAGTTTCCAGTCCTCCTCCTCTTCTGTCCCATCTTCTCCGAATAGCTCTAATTCTGATAACAACGGAAATCCCAAAAATGGTGATCTCTCCAGTATTGAAGGCATCCTGAAGAATGATCGAATAGATTGTTCTATGAAAACAACCAAGTCGAGTGCACCGGGGATGACAAAGAGTCACAGTGGAGTGACAAGTAAGTGACTTTAGTTTTCAAGGGTTGGTGCCATTAATTGCAGGTGGGGCTTATTTGATCAGTTTTTCATTTGAGTGTAATTTCACCCTCTTTTGGGTAATCATAGTTTAGTAGTTAGAGAAGAAATCAGTGATGATTTTAAACCTTACAGCCTAGGGCTGTCATAATTCGTTCTTGACACGGAACAAGGTACGTGGTTATGCACTCTGCCTGTGTTTCCTCGAGGGTAGCTCCTTTTACCACATTTTCACAGTTGCCTTTCTTCTGGACTCTTGGTACTGAATCCGGTTTCTAGAACAGAGTACTTACTTGTTGTAGGAAGGGGTTTGCTTTCATGAAGTTGGAGCTAGGAACATTTGGAATTAGAAAACAAAGCAGCATTGGGATAACCAAATGAGTGGTGGAATTTGGACCCCTGAGTGAGTGTGGAGGTAAGACTGGCTGATACAGGGGAGGAATGGTGCCTGTAAGGTGAATCGAACTTAGTATTGTACAGCGGCCTGTGGAGACATCTGTTTGCACCTTCTGCTAATTGACTTTTTTGTATGACTTTTTAATTCTTACTGAGGAGAATTGTTTTTAGTTCTGGTTGCATATATGGTGTAAAAGTAACTCTACCCTTAACAAAATTTCAGTGTATGCTTAAAATCATCAGGAAAGGAAAAAACCAGCTCTCAGATATTTCTGGCAGTCCCATAAATTGTGTTTTATTTAAATTTTATTTATTTATTTTGAGACAGAGCAAGTGGGGGAGAGGCAGAGAGGGGAGGAGAGAGAATCCTAAGCAGGCTTCACACTATCAGAGGCAGAAGCTGACACGGGGCTCCATCTCATGAACTGTGAGATCATGACCTGAGCTGAAACCAAGAGTGGGATGCTTAACCGACTGAGCTAGGTGCCCCCCCATAAACTGTGATTTAAAAGAACACTAAGATTTCTTTTGGTAATTTAGTGTAAAGATATTTTTGCATTATAAAAGTAGATTTTGTATCTTTTTAAAGTACTTACAAATTGAATAAAATAAACTGGAATCAGTTGGAAAGAAAGCAAACGGTTGAAGTTTTTCTTCCAGCTTTATACTTTTATATCTGTTTGTGTCTTAGAATTTAGTGGCATGGTTCTACTGTGTAAAGTCTGTGGGGATGTGGCATCAGGATTCCACTATGGAGTTCATGCTTGTGAAGGCTGTAAGGTAAGCTACTGATTCTGGGAATAAAGAAATTAGAGTTAGGTTTGTCAGTTTCCACAGTTGATAACCTGGGATGATGAGAAGTCAGCAGCTACTCTTACAGTTTTAAGCATTTTAGGTAGTATATGAACATAACTTGTTTTGAAAAATATATTCAGCATTAAAAGTATTTCTTTTTTCTTTAGGATTTTGATCAAAATAAATTTGCTCTTTCACTTAGGGTATGAAACCGAGTACACAAATTGTGTATTATCTAATGCATCAGGCACTGTTCCAGGTGGTGGGGAAATAGGGAGCAAAACCGACAAGGCACTGCTTGTTGGAACTGAGTTTAAACCAAGCTTTGAATAGGTCTCCTCAGATATGATGACATTCTGATAGGTCAGATATTAGCAGTTGGGAATAACTCCTACAATACTTGTAAAAATGTGGTATCTTGAGAAGTAATGCCAAATGACTAAAAGAATCTTGAATATAAATTGATTACTTGGGAAACCTCATTTTTAAGTTCAAGTGAATATTTCTTGGTTAGAGTGTCAGCTAATTCCAAGTGAGATAGTTTATACCTCCTACTTATATCCAGGGAATCTTTCCCTCTTTTTTGAAAATCTGGCCCAGTTCTTTCTCCTGAGTATCAAAAATTAATATGACCAAGACATTTGCTCTTGCCAGAAGCAAGAATCCAATTTGGCAAGATATGATGGGTGAGCAAGATAATGAATATACGTGATGGAAGAAGATATATTTTCTAGGGTGGCTCTGAATGAATTGTGAGTTTGGTAGCCCTTAATGGCTGGGTCATTTCACAAGACTAGTCAGTATTTTATATAGAAGTAGCATTTTTCCACTGTTTTAAACATTCTGTAAATACTGTTTTACTGTTTTTAAAATTTTTATAACCATGTGAAGTAACTGTAGAGCAGTCATTGTTCTCACTTTACGGCTAGAGAAACAAAAAGTACAAGCAAATGAGACTGTGTATCTTTGATAAATACACGTAATTGTTCCACACCCTTTTAGAGATTTGTCTAGTTCAGATATTCTGGTATCCAAGTATAATATTGAAGTAATAAAGTATAAAAATGTTGTATTTCAAAATTACTAACAGATTCATGAAATGTGTGGTTAATTATGATACTCAAGGAAACTGCAATTTAAAATCTTGGTAATTGTGTTCTTGACTTTTCTGTTCTTCCTGGGAACATGAAGCTGGAGATCTTGGAAGACCTATCACAGAGCATGTGCTTAAACTGTTTGTGTAGTAAAGATAGTTATTTGTAGCCATAGAGCTGGGAACGGTCTTTCCTTGGATCATTAGTTGCTCTGTGGGTGGTGTGGTGTCACACTTACCTATTGCTAACAAGTTGCCAGAAATATCCGGCACTTGTAAGTAGACTTTGCTGGTGTCATCAGGTAATGATCCAGGAAAGACCCAGCTCTACTAATGTAATCCTTGGTTCTAGTGAGGGAATTACACCTGTGGAACACCTTTCTCTGTCAACTCTTTAAAAATCAGTCATTCATGTTTTAAGAGTTTTGGGATTTGTATGTAATTGAAGTTTGGGCTGGAAAATGTGGTTTGTGGCAGGGGCTGGTAACAGCATGAAGTGTAGTAAAGAGGTGCTTGGCAAGCTCCAAGGTTCTCCAAAGGGAAGGAGCAGAAGAGTTTTATTGGGCTAGTAGGCATAGGTGCTTACTAATACCAGTAAGAATCCAGTTAAATTCTGTGTGTCAGTGTTCTATACCCCTGTGTTCTAAGCGCAAATTATTTCCCAGGTAGCTAGTGAAATGCTTGTTAGTTGTGAGGGGGTGTGCTTACAAGGAGCCCATCTGGATGTTTTTAAATGAATGAATACATCTCCTTTGTTCTTAGGGTTTCTTTCGGAGAAGCATTCAGCAAAACATCCAGTACAAGAAGTGCCTGAAGAATGAAAACTGTTCTATAATGAGAATGAATAGAAACAGATGTCAGCAGTGTCGCTTCAAGAAGTGTCTGTCTGTTGGAATGTCGAGAGATGGTATGTTCCCACTTTAATGAGTGCTCTTCTTAAAACATATGGAGCTAGGCTTTTTACTCCTCAGCATAAACCAGACCTGTAGGCCAGTTACCAGTGGCCTTCTTGTGCTTAGAGTGAAGCAGATTTTAGAAAAACACATTTTGATACCTTGTAAGATGCCAAATTCATTAAAGTCAAATTTTAGCATTATCACCCTGGAAACAGCTTTTGGCTCTCTTTTTGGGGCTTCTTATAAAAGACTTTTTTGTATACAGTTTGAATACTTTTTTCCTAAAAAAGAATTCGTTTTTCTTGGTATAGGAATCCTTGGCTCTTTCTCCTTGATTTTTTAGCATTTCTGAGGAACCCATTTCTGCTATGTGAATTATCTCTATGACTTTCTCAGCCCTAAGATGATAATGTGCTTTTAGGGACAGGTCTGAATATATTGAAAGGAGATGCAAAATTGAAAGAAACAGTAGGGTCTGGAGTGGAGGTGGTTGCTAAATTCTGGCATGATCCATTCCCATAAAAAATAAAAGTTAATTTTCAGGATTATTAGTATTTTCTGTGGATGACATCACTGGGAAATTTGACTCTTATGCTTAGGGAAATCACGTTTGGATAGTCTCATTCAGTTCTAAGTAACATAACAGAAGAGTATGAGGTTTTCCGAGGGACTAGTTTAGTAGGATTAATTAAGAATTGCAAAGAATGAACCTGATATTTATCTAGGGAAGGGTCACTTAAGCAATCCCTTAGGTTACTCTAATACATTACACAAATACTGTTTGTAATAAAGAGCTTTGTGAGTAATGGATTTCAGCAATTGATGTTTTGGATTTAATTTGCCTAAAAATTTTTTTTTATATTACTGGAAATATTAATGCAAAGTTGGTGGATATTGTGATTTCCTCAAAAGAATAAAAATGGCAATCATTTGTGAAGGAGGGAGTAGAGGTAGAGCGTTGAACATGATAAAACTGTCCACTATAGCAATAATGTCAGAGGCTACAATTAGATTAGGAAGGCTTTCTTGCCGGGTGGATATATTGGATTTTTATTATCTCTGTATAAATATTGGACTAGAAAGCTTTTATGTTCTACTCCTCAGGGATAGGAATGTTGGAGACACGACACATTTTAAGACTCACCTCTAAAATAATGGAGGATGCATTATTTAATTTTTATTTATTTTATTGATTTCAATTAAAGTCCAAGTTTTCAATAACTGCCTTTCTCTTGATTGTGTTTTTTTAATTAAAAAAATCTTTTTTAAAGATTTTCTTTTTTAAGAAGCTGGAAAAGGAGAACAAACCATTTAATAGTTGGGTCTTGAGAATAGGATTACAGCATGAATTGACAAAGGTCAGGTGTTCAAGGAATGCTTGTACCTACTAGGTTTCATTAACATTAATGTCTGTGGGTAGCTGAATCCCATGTGCCTTCTTAAAAACAGAGCCTTCAGCCTTATTAATAGGTGCTGTATAGTAATGCTGACTGCTTCAATGTGATTTTCATTAGTTAATTTCAGATTTCTTAGATTGCTTATAAAATACCCAGGACCTAAGCTCTTCTCTTAGCTTTGTTTTGGGAGAAAAATGGACAAAATTTCCCCTCTATTTCTTATGGTGTATCAAAAACATAACCAGCAAGTTTAGAATAATTTGGGCCAGAGACATACAGATACTCTTTACTTGTATCACTAGAGGCCATAGCTATTAGAGACAGTTTTGTGCTATTCTTTTGTATAAACAGGTCTTATTTAGAATATAGACCTTAAACATTTTTTTCTTCAATAGCTGTTCGGTTTGGTCGTATTCCTAAGCGCGAAAAACAGAGGATGCTAATTGAAATGCAAAGTGCGATGAAGACCATGATGAACAGCCAGTTCAGTGGTCATTTGCAGAATGATACATTAGAACATCATGAACAGACAGCCTTACCAGCCCAGGAACAGCTGCGACCCAAGCCCCAGCTGGAACAAGAAAACATCAAAAGCTCTTCTCCCTCTTCTGATTTTGCAAAGGATGAAGTGATTGGCATGGTGACCAGAGCGCACAAGGATACCTTTATGTATAATCAAGAGCAGCGAGAAAACTCAGCAGACACCATGCAGCCTCAGAGAGAACGGATTCCCAAGAGCATGGAGCAATATAATTTAAATCATGACCATTGTGGCAGTGGGCTTAGCAGTCATTTTCCATGTAGTGAGAGCCAACAGCACCTCAATGGACAGTACAAAGGGAGGAACATAATGCATTACCCAAATGGGCATGCCATTTGTATTGCAAATGGACATTGTATGAACTTCTCCAATGCTTATACTCAACGAGTATGTGATAGAGTTTCGATAGATGGATTTTCTCAGAATGAGAACAAGAATAGTTACCTGTGCAACACTGGAGGGAGAATGCATCTGGTATAGTGAAATCTGTTTGTTTGTTTGTTTTTTTGCCCTGTTTGCATCAAGGAAAGCTTTGAAGGTTTTCTTTTATTTTGGGGGGAATATATCAACTTGAGGGGCAGGGGTGGTGTCAGAGAACCTGAGATTTATACAATCAATTTTGTGTAGTATTTTAGTTCAAATAGTTCTAATAAACATCATTTGTTGAATGACCTAATATCACACAGAACTAGGTACAGGCATGTGATTTGATACGAGGATTGGGATTAGGATTTTATGTAAAATGTGGATCATGTAGAATTGGCCCTTTTTTTTTTTTTAATTTTTAATGTTTATTTATTTTTGAGAGAGAGAGAGAGAGTGAGTAGGGGTGGGGCAGAGAGAGAGGGAGACACAGAATCCAAAGCAGGCTTCAGGCTCCGAGCTGTCAGCACAGAGCCTAACTCCAGGCTCGAACTCCCGGATCTCAAGATCATGACCTGAGCCAAAGTCAGAAGCTCAACCGACTGAGCCACCCAGGTGCCCTTAGAATTGTTCCTTTAATTCTTAGAAATACCTTTCAAAATTTAAGTATTCTGATTAATCGCTACCCTACTAGCTTTGGGATTTTCTCAAAGGGCAGATCAATTTAGCTTGCTAAAGTTAGTAATCCTTTGATTTCATTTTTTTTTTTTATTATTCAAAAAAATTTTTTTCTTCTAAGTTTATTCATTTTTGAGAGGGAGAGAGAGACAGAGCATGAGCAGCGGAGGGGTGGAGAGAGAGAGAAGGAGCCAAAGAATTCAAAGCAGGCTCCAGGCTCTGAGCTGCACGGAGCCCGATGTGGGGCTCAAACTCACAAACCGCGAGATCATGACCTGAGCTGAAGTCGGACACTTAACCGACTGAGCCATCTAGATGCCCCAGTAATCCTTTGATTTTTAGGGAAGAAGTTTTCTTTAACCATTATAGTGCAAAAAGTTCTGAGTATAGGACATGGATAGGTGTTTTACTGTTTGAAAATTTAGGAATATTTTAATTTAATACACTGGTTTCTATGGATTTTCTCAGACTTTATCTTAGGAAATGAGTTAGTGTTATTTAGGAGATGATTTAATGTTATTTATAAAATTCAAGTTTTTTTTTATTTTAATAAAATACAACAGTTTACATGAAAGTACAGTATTTATATTCAACCAAAATTTCATCAAAAACAGAAGTACCACACCATTTCCAGTTTAAACCATTAGGTCCTTTGATATAGGCTTGGTATTTTCTATCCAGGTAATTAAAGTCTTCTTTTTTCATTTTCAAAATAGCTGACTCTACCCCAATTCTTTTGTTAGAATTTTCTTGTCACTTGCAAGTATTTGATTCCATGGATCTTAAAAGTGACCTTATATTTTATTAGACTTACGGGCTGCCTTAGGAGGGAAACATCTGTAAGCATTTAGGTTCTAATTTTGTGGTGTTCTCCATGGTTATAGAATAATCCCATTCCTGGATTGCCTATGGATTTAGCAAAAATTTAAAGGCTGATGTTACTAATAGAGTATGCAGTGAATTTCATAATCTTTTTATTTTATTTATTTTTTTCCTATTTTTTAAATTTTACCTCGTTTTATTTTTTTAAATTTACATCCAAATTAGTTACCATATAGTGCAACAATGTTTTCAGTAGATTCCTTAGTGCCCTTTACCTGTTTAGCCCATCCCCCCTCCCACAACCCCTCCCGTAACCCTCAGTTTGTTCTCTATGAGTCTCTTCTGTTTTGTCTCCCTCCCTGTTTTTATATTATTTTTGTTTCCCTTCCCTTATGTTCATCTGTTTTGTCTCTTAAAGTCCTCATATGAGTGAAGTCATATGATTTTTGTCTTTCTCGGACTAACTTCACTTAGCATAATACCCTCCAGTTCCATCCACATAGTTGCAAATGGCAAGATTTTATTCTTTTTGATTGCAGAGTAATACTCCGTTGTATATATATACCACATCTTCCTTATCCATTCATCCATCAATGGACATTTGGGCTCTTTGCATACTTTGGCTATTGTTGATAGTGCTGCTATAAACACGGGGGTGCATGTGTCCCTTCGAAACAGCACACCTGTATCCCTTGGATAAACGCCTAGTAGTGCAATTGCTGGGTCGTAGGGTAGTTCTCTTTTTAGTTTTTTGAGGAATCTCCATACTGTTTTCCAGAATGGCTGCACTAGCTTGCATTCCCATCATAATCTTTTTAATGTTCTTCTCTTTGGCTTCCCAGTTTTTCCTCACCAATCCTTATTTAGAAGGTGCCCTTTGTATCTCTCATCATTGTTTTCTAGTTGAACAAGTGGGGGCCAGTAGTCATACCAGTGTTTATGAAATAAATGGTCAATGACCTTTTTAAAAAAGTGACGCATCTCACTATTTTCCCTTCTTTGAAATTGTAACATTGTAATTGTGTGATTTAGAAAAAGTGAGTTTGAAATATTAAGTAAATGTTGGGCTTGGGTTCTAGGCCTGTGACTTCTAGCTGTATTCGGATAAATCATTAAACCGCTCAGAGTCTCATTTCCTCATCTAAGAAATGGTAATTATATTATCTGCTATCACTAATGAATAGGATTGACAATCAAGTATGTGTGAATTTGTTTGAAAATCATAAAACCAGCATAAGGTGGCAGCAGTGTTACAAAATAAAGTTTAAAACCTGTGCAACAGGTTTTTTGAAATAGCTTAGGCTGCCTCTTTTATGATAAGTTAATTGGTACTTAAACCAGGTTGCCATGAGGCTTTCTCACATAAGGCAAGTAGCAAGAAGAGAAAATGTTAATATTCGTAGATAGCACCTGTGTCTGAGAGTTCTTTTCATATTGGGGTTTCCAAAGATTGAGATGCTACTTTTGAAGTTTCTTTACCACCTCTCACAATTGAAGAAGTTTTCTGTTTTGTGCATACTAGGTTTGTCCAATGAGTAAGTCTCCATATGTGGATCCTCATAAATCTGGGCATGAAATCTGGGAGGAATTTTCAATGAGCTTCACCCCAGCAGTGAAAGAAGTTGTGGAGTTCGCAAAGCGTATTCCTGGATTCAGAGATCTCTCTCAGCATGACCAGGTCAACCTTTTAAAGGCTGGGACTTTTGAGGTAGGTTTATTTATCTGGAATATCGATGCAGGGTGTAGGTGGTATTTTATTCTCACGGACATTTTCATTCTTCTCTAAATAAGTATTTATAGTTTAGAGGCTGAAGGTGCCAACAAAAGAATAACAATCTCAGGATCTTGGGAAGAGATGAGATAAATACAGAGTTTCTTAGGACTTGAGATAAAACTGCTCTGTATTCCCGGAATACAGACTTCATCCAGTATTACTTTCAAGCGTGGACTGCAGGCAGTTTCTGCAGAGTGTTACTAGATACCTACTCCGAGCCTAGCCCGGTGTTTCAGCACAGAATACAAGGAGTAAATAGGATGTGGTTTTTCTCTTTTAGGAGATCGTAGAATATTTGGGGGATAGGTGAAACATGTCTTATGTGCTATTTCATACCCTCTCTGCCTCATCCAGCATCTGTGGCTACTTTTTCTACTCCAGTTTCTCTTGCTGTGATGTATTCTGCCCAGGCGTGGGGCAGCCACTGTTGCCAACTGGAGTAGGACAGAGTGCCTTTCTTTGTGCTGAGTTAGATGCCTCTGACCTGTCTTCCTCAGGGCTTTCCCGGTGCTGCCGAGGTGTGAAGAGCCTCAGGACTTCCTCAGAGCTTCCCTAAGCATTATTCCAAAATGTAGAGTGGTGGGTGGGAAGGTGGTGTCTAGTGGGCTGAATCTAATTAGTGGGTAAGAGACCCAGGGGATATATTTTGTCTCTTCCCTGCTGGTCCCATAAGACTGAGCTATCAGTTGTTAACGATATTGAGTTGTGGCCAGCTCAGTAATACATCCTCTGATATTTTCTTTTTTTCCTTCCTAGTCTTCCTTTTTCCTCAGTTCTCTTTTCACATGGGGTAGTGCACACCCCACATAAACTTTTGCCTTAGGTCCTATTTTCTGGGGCACCTGGACTGGAATGGAGGAGCCATACTCATTAATAAAATAGCTATGGTATAGTTTAAAAGTAAAACCATTAGGTTAGGATTTTTGGAAAACATTAGAGTTAAGATTTAAACTCTGAATCTTAGAGGGATGTCAGTGATGAAGTTCAGTTTACTCATTTTTGAGGTTAGGTGACCGTGGCTCAGAGAGGTGAAGAGATTTTTCTTGGATTACCAATAAATTCCTAACACAGGACCAGAACACAGATCCCAGACTCCAAGACTAGTGTTCTTTACACCTTGTGATTTGTTTTGGGATTGCTGTATTCTAGAGTTAGAGCTGTCTTGGGGTGCTTGGGTGGCTTAGTGGCTTAAACACCTGACTCTTGGTTTTGGCTCAGGTCATGATCTCATGGTTCGTGGGTTTGAGCCCCACCACGTTGGTCTCCGTGCTGATGGTGCAAAGCCTGCTTAGGATTCTCTCTCTCCCCCTTTCCCCCTCCCCTGCTTGTTTGCTCTCTCTTTCAAAGTAAATAAATAAAAACTTAAAAAAATAGAATTAGAGCCATCTTCATAAAAGGTTCATTCTCTTTTGGATTGTCTTGAGTAAAACAGGTCTTTGGGGGGATTTGCAAAGGGGAGGTATTTGTTCAGTATTCCTCTGGTTTTGAGAGAAGTATGTGGCATAGATGCCACCATTTACTATAGGGGAGGGGAGGGAGTGCTGTAGGTAAGCAGTTGTTGACTGATTTGTTTTGGGTTTGAATTACGACTTGGTGTCTGGAACACTTCTGTTATAGTTTTGTGTATTGTCTCTTTGGGTTATGGTTTCTTGAAATAGTCTAATTAGAGTGTATCTGCTACATTTGCCTTGGCTGCATTTGGTGTTTTGATGTCCCCAAGTGTTGCATTAAAATATTGTTCTTTTTACTTATGATTTAGGTACCATGTGATATACTTGGTAGTTTAAAAAGTTTAATGCCTTTGGCCAAGGCCCAGTTTCAGATTTCTTGGCATTATTGCCTACTTTAATTTTGTATTTGCATTTCAGAATTTTTATTAATAGAGTTTCAGAGTATCACAGGACTGAAGTGTTTTGCCACTAGTGGATGGAATTTTTTTGATGTGCTTCTTCGGATATTTATTGCTTTGGTAGAGAATTTGCCTTAAGGAAATGGTTTTGGGTAAAAATAAGCTAGGTTTTTCTTTTACAACCTTCTTTTATATGTAGGTTGTTTTTTTAATTAAAAAAAATTATTTTTTAACGTTTGTTTATTTCTGAGAGAGAGAGACAGAGTGCGAGCTGGGGAGGGGCAGAGAGAGAGGGAGACACAGAATCCAAAGCAGGCTCCAGGCTCTGAGCTGTCAGCACAGGGCCCGATGTGGGCTTCGAACCCACGAGCTGTGAGATCATGACCTGAGCCGAAGATGGATGCTTAACCAACTGAGCCACCCAGGCACCCCATATGTAGGATGTTTCTTAACTGACTTGAATACTGAATTACTTCTTAGTACTCCTTCAAATACACTTAAGTCTTTTTCTTTTTCCAGGTTTTAATGGTACGGTTTGCATCATTATTTGATGCAAAGGAGCGTACTGTCACCTTTTTAAGTGGAAAGAAATATAGTGTCGATGATTTACACTCAATGGGAGCAGGGGATCTGCTAAACTCTATGTTTGAATTTAGTGAGAAGCTAAATGCCCTCCAACTTAGTGATGAAGAGATGAGTTTGTTTACAGCTGTTGTCCTGGTATCTGCAGGTAAGCAAGCTGGTTCAAAATTGTGCCACACCTAGAATACAGTGACTTAGTGGGGAGAAGGTGGAACTACGTTCCAGCAAGCTATAGAGAAGGCAGGAGGGACTTAAGACGCTACACTGTGTGAATCTGTTATTTTTGCATAATTAATTTTTTAATCATGACATTAGAAGTCAAAAGTGCTATATAGTAATAAAATGATGTTTAGATCGAGGCCTCACATTTACCACAAGTCTTAGTCTTTAGCTTTTTGTAACTGTTTTGCAAGTCTAAACTGTTATTTTTGTGGATTTAATTTTTAGATTAGTAGGTTTTTCTGATATGAATCAATGTTTTAATCAAAATATGTGTTACTTGAAAATGTTAAAAGTAGCAAGATATATTAGTGTGATTTGTAACAAAAACTGATGAATTATGAGTAGGCTTTTACCCTGCTTTGCCACTGAAGTTTCTCTGTGATTGCATAAATAATTCTATTCTTTTGGGTCTTGGTTTCCTCATCCTGTGAAAGCAAGGGATTGTACCATGTGAACCAGCCTGGAGTCTGGCACAGAATAGGTACTTAGTTACTATTTGAATGAGTGATCAAGATTTTTGAGTTCCTAACATTTAATGTTTGTTTGTATGAGTCATTGATGATTTCCAATTTCCCTGCAACCCTGCATTTATATTATAGTTATTTCTGACCGAAGTATTTCAATTTTGATAATAGCTATTAAGATAATAGCAAATGGGAAATTGATACACAATGACTTTCCTGGAGATGTGTAAGTACCAGCCATTTTTTGGTATCCACTGACTATTTTAAAACATTTGTTGAGAATTTTATTTTGGTAGGAGTTAACTGTAAGTTTCCCATTTGCTTCCTACTGTGTAAAAGCCATTCTGCCAGGCACTATGAGGGTTATGATCCCTGTTTATGAAGCTAAACTGTATATCAGTAACTCCTAAGGAGAGTAAGTTCTTTGTATATCTTAAAGGGCCTATACATCAGTGGTATAAATAAAGATTTATGCCATTTGGAAGCATAACGTGGCTACCTTTTCTGATCAGCTCTACCTGGGTAGCTAAAAATGCATTTATGATATGGGATAGTATGAAAGTACCATGTTAATAAGGGATACCTATTTTCTTAGTAACCTTGTAATTAATGTCTCTTGCAGTTTACCTACCATTTCACAGTCTCTTGAGAAGTAATTATTAATGGTTTGAGTTGACATCAGATTAATAAACCTATTATTGTGAAACTAAAGTAATCCATGCTTGTTTCTTTATCTGATAAATATGCCTTATGTGCTAGGGGAGACAGAACAAGCATTAAGACACAAGCTTGCTTTCTAAGCATTTATGTTCCATTTGGAGAGATAAGATTGACACAAAAAGCTTATGGTACTAAGCTGTGTGGTTCTGACTGAGGTAAGTAGGAGTTATAGGAAGAAAGATGAAATTACCTGAGCAAACTTTGTGGGGAAGATGGAAGTGGAGCTGAAGTTTGAAAGATGGGTTATTAGGTTTTCCCAGCAAAAAAGTGATGGAGCAGTTTGGGAGAGCACAAGATAGGGCAGGGGCAGGTGGCTGAAGCCTGATATGTTATGTACATCAAGGAGGAAAGGGACCGAAGGCTTGTGAGTTAGAGGAACACCAGGTTATGGAATGACCACCATGAGAAGAAATATGGGACAGTGGAAAGTGAGTGCAGGGGAGTGATCAGGCATGAACAAAGTGATGGTTTAACATTAGGTCTACATTTTTATCTTGGGTAGATTAGATAAGTGAGTCATTAGAGCTGGAGCGTCAGGTTGAGAGGCTGTTGAAATCACTTCAGGTATGAGGCACTGGAGTGAACTCTCCTGAAATAGGTGTGGTAGTGGAGGTGGAGAAGGAGGGACTGTGTCCCAGAGATGGTTCAAAGGAAGAAATGATGTGAGGGGAATGAGGGGAGCTGTATGCCAGGAATTGTGCTACTTCATTTATATTTTCTACCAAGAACATGATTCTTTTTAATTAAGTTTTTTTTTTTTTATTTTTAAAATTTATTTATTTGGGAGAGACAGCATACAGGGGAAAGGCAGAGAGAAAGGAGAGAGGGAATCCCAAGCACGCTCGATGCTGTTAGCTCAGTTCTTTGCAAAAGTAGACAATATTAAGATGAAAATAAAGATAATATCATTACCAAAAAAGATCACTGTCAACATTGGGGGGGGGGGGTGTCTCTATTCAATTGTCCATCCATTTACCATTTCCTGCTTATTGATTTATGGTACATAAAAAAATGTTTGACATACTAAGTCAAAAAGACTGATTATAGAAGAATATAATGCATTCTTATTTTTGTTATGTCTATATATATGAAGAAGGTACACAAACAACACATATACATACGTACTTTCATATATTTTTTAAAAGTATGTTGCTTTCACTTAAACATATGATAGTGTTCATGGAAGACTTCTATCTTTACCACCTAAAAAAAGGACTATTGTTATTTTTAAAGCAGTATTTAGACCAGAAAATAAAAAGTCTTCCTTCTCCCAGCCTGCTCTCCAGAGAACTCTCCAGAGATTTCTAACCGTCTTTCTTTTTAATTTTTCTGATAGCTGCCCACCTAACTCTAAATACTGTGTAGAGTTGGATTTTTTATTGAGTGGATACAACTGATTAAAGTATCTTCTTACTTTTTATAAGTTTTATTCTTATAAAACTTTTTTATAAAAAAAGTTATTATAAACTTTATAAGTCTTATAAACTTATTTTATAAAATAAAATTTGATTTAAAATTTTAATATGCTCACATTCTTTGATCTTTCCGTTTTACATAAATCTCTCAGATAGTTTAGATAGAATCTTTTCCTTAGACAGGGACACAGTATCCTTTTACTCTATATCCTGGCTTCTTTTGCTATACCATTTCTTTTATATTGTCAAGAATGAAAATATTTACATTCTGTTCTATAGGTGTGATTAGTTTCTGTCCTTTATCAGATAATTCTAAATATTGAAAAGCAAAAATTCTACATTTACAGTATTATGATTATGTAAATAGTGCTCACAGTACTCATACAGTGGGGTTGAAATTGTAGACAAGGCAATGTAAATCTTGCCCTAAACCTGTGCCACCCAAGGGGAGAATGTTCCAAGTATCAGGTAACAAATGGATTATATATATTCATTATTAAATTGCTTAGAATTAAGCAACATTATAGTTTGCATTATATTTAAAATCACTTTTTGTTTTTCTTGGAACCTACACTTGCCATCTGGGTTTTGTTTTGGTTGTCAGAAGAAATGCTAGTTAGTTTCTAGATCTCATTATATAATTTTATCCTCACAACAGACCTCTGATGTGAGCCAGGACACAGAGAGGTTAAATAATTTGCCCATGGTTGTGCATTTTTAAAAATTGGCTGAGGGGCGCCTGGGTGGCGCAGTCGGTTAAGCGTCCGACTTCAACCAGGTCAAGATCTCACGGTCCGTGAGTTCGAGCCCCGCGTCGGGCTCTGGGCTGATGGCTCAGAGCCTGGAGCCTGTTTCCGATTCTGTGTCTCCCTCTCTCTCTGCCCCTCCCCCGTTCATGCTCTGTCTCTCTCTGTCCCAAACATAAATAAACGTTGAAAAAAAAAAAATAAAAATTGGCTGAGCATGCATTTGAACTCCTATTAGTCTCTGAAGCTTCAAAGCCTTTCTGTTGTATTACTTGTTAACAGAATAGCTCTAGCTGCTAAGGGGGAGAGAAATCTCAAACATGATACTTGGCTGTGAGGTTGGAAAACTCTTGATACCACGGAGAAAAAGGGAATTATAACTGAAAGGTAAAATTTTCTTGAGATTGTGTGAAATGGCAGCAGTCACTTGCAGTTGAAGATGAGGGATGGGCATATAACTGTGAGACCAAAGTTCATCTAGAAATAGATTTCAGTTGTCTGTGGAAGGAATTTAACTTCCATCTTGTAGGAGGTGAATATGAAGAGAAATTAGGTGAGGAGCACAGGCTTCGGAGAGGGATGAAGAACCAGCTAAGAAAGTAGAGGACAGATGTAGCATGAATTAAACTATACAAGTAGTGTAGCATTTAGTAAATCATGTAGAAGAGAAATTTCCATTTCAATCTGTACATTCTATTGTTACAGTTTCTAGAGCATTATTGTTTATGATCCAGCTAGATTTGTAGATAGGTTATTTGGCCTTGAAATCATGAAACCATGGTTTTAGATATTGAGATTTTAGAAAAATTTAATACACTTTACATTTTTAGTTATAGGAATCCCTTCCCTGAAGCTCTGAGTTGTGTAGAAGTGCTTAGGACATCCCAACACAAAATACTCACTGAAGCACTTCTAATGCAAATATCTTCATTACCTGTGTGTTTCTTTCTTTGCCTATTTAGATTATTTTGTTTGTGGGGCTCACTGTCATTCTTAACCGGTTGTTGGTATTGTAAATTACTAATGATAATGATGCAAACCAGGTATTCTGCTTATAATAAGGGCTCTCTAAAGGAAGGAATTTTGGTTTATGTTCACTGCTAATTACCTAGCACCTATTACAGTAGCCACACACATTCAGTAAGTGTTTGGTGAGGGAATTAATAAATTGCAAGGATGCTGAAGAAAACAATTACTTGAATATTAAAGGCAAGGGAGATTCTTGGAAGCATTACTGAAGGCTTTAAGTAGTTTTGCAAAGATGGCCCGTATGATTTTATGACCAAAGTCAAATGTTCACAGGTCTTTTTCCATAAGAATTGGCACACAGTTGAATAATAATCCAAATTTTCTTTTTTTAAATTTTTTTTTTCAACGTTTTTTATTTATTTTTGGGACAGAGAGAGACAGAGCATGAACGGGGGAGGGGCAGAGAGAGAGGGAAACACAGAATCGGAAACAGGCTCCAGGCTCCGAGCCATCAGCCCAGAGCCTGATGCGGGGCTCGAACTCACGGACCGTGAGATCGTGACCTGGCTGAAGTCGGACGCTTAACCGACTGCGCCACCCAGGCGCCCCCAAATTTTCTTAAATGTAAGATAAACAAACCTATTTTCATCATTTTTTCTGCATTTAGAGTTAATCAAACATTTTTCCCCCTTACTATGAAATTTTAGTCTTTGTTCCAAGTGTTTGCATTGCAGGTGGCTTTTTTAACTCCCAGTTACAATGCAAAGCTTCAATATCCTTATAAAAAAATGAATAAAAGGGTGTGAATGGCCAGAGAATTTTGCTTCCTTGGCAGTGTCTTACTAATTACAACTTCCTGTACTGGGGGCCATTGAATATTTCTTGTGCATTACTGCCTCCTATTGTAAAGGGAAGAAATAGCCCTTGATGATGAAAAAAAAGCCTATGGGCAAACAACATAGGTTTGGCTAATTTTAAGATACTTTCCTTTATTGTTGGTTTATACTAAATCATTAATTAACACTTTCTATGATGAGCTTAATAAATACAGTATACTAAGCGGTGCCTGGGTGGTTAAGTGTCCGACTTCAGCTCAGGTCATGATCTCACAGTCTGTGAGTTTGAGCCCCGTGTTGGGCTCTGTGCTGACAGCTCAGAGCCTGGAGCCTGGTTCAGATACTGTGTCTCCCTCTCTCTTTGCCCCTCCCCACCTCACGCTCTGTCTCTGTCTCTGAAAAATGAATAAACCTTAAAAAAAAAAAAATACGGTATGCTAAATGAAAGTGAATGCTTAGGTTATAATTAGGTAATAAAGTTGCATAGTATATTAGTTATCTATTACCACTAACAAATTACCTTAAAACTTAGTGGCTTTTTATCTCACAGTTTCTGAGGGTTAGGAATATGGTGTGGCTTTGATGGGTGCCTCTGGCTCAAGGTTTCTTAGGAGATTGTAGTCAAACTTGGAGCAGGGCTGTGGTCAACTATGAAGGCTCAACTAGGTAAGGATCTGCTGCTTCTAGGCTTATTCGTGTGGTTGTTGGCAGGATACATTTCCTTGCAAGATGTTGGACTGAGTGCCTCAGTTCTTTGCTGGCTTTTGGCTAGAGACCACTGTCAGTTCCTTAGCACCTGGGCCACTTCCATAGGCAGTTCACAACGTGGCATCTGGCTTTTCTCAGAGTAAGTGAGCAAAAGTATGCTAAAGATGGAAGTCAAGTGTTTTTTTTGTTTTTTTGTTTTTGTAATCGAATATTTTATTCGTTAGTAGTGAATCAGTAAATCTAGCCCACTCAAGGGGAAAGGGATAGGCAAGGGCACGGATACCAGGATGAGGAAATCATTGGTGGCTGTTTTAGAGGTTGCTTGCCACACATGGCAACATACAAATGTGGATATATTCCAAATGAAGTAAAATTATATTTGTAAACTACATTATTCATTTTATTTTCTCAATGAGAAGCAGTTGAAATTAGCAGATGGCATCTAATTGTAAAAATCAGAACCTTTAGTTTTGTGAACAAAATACTAAGCACTAAAGAGTTTTGATTTATCAAGTATACTGTGTGATATACATCTTTATAATATAATCAACAGATACAAAAATTTGCCATTGGGATTTATAAAATTTTGTCAAATATTTTTTGCCTTTGTTCCAATGTATAAAACCTTGTTTTAAATTCATTAATGAGATTGATGAGCAAGAATTATATTTCTAGTTAATGTTTTCTCTTAATTGATAATGTTAATAACATGTCCTCTCATTCATGTCTCTCTATTCCTTACTATTAGATCGATCTGGAATAGAAAATGTCAACTCTGTTGAGGCTTTGCAGGAAACTCTCATCCGTGCACTAAGGACCTTAATAATGAAAAACCATCCAAACGAGGCCTCTATTTTTACAAAACTTCTTCTAAAGTTGCCAGATCTTCGATCTTTAAACAACATGCACTCTGAGGAGCTCTTGGCCTTTAAAGTTCACCCCTAAGGCCTTTGTTAATTTAAACATGAACTGACTCATGCTAACTGTACATTTTGTGCTAATATGCTTATTTATATGTGTATACCATATGTGGAGATAGAAAAGACCTTTAAGACAATACAAGATTATAGGCTGTCTCTGTAATCATGCGGTAGCTGTTTGGATTGAGGTTTCTTCAGCCATGGTTAGACATTGACCGCATTTCCCCTATAGACCAATCAGCTGTGTCGCACTTAAACTGGAGAAGTTACACTGAATTATAGTCACACTGAATGTTAGACTTTTCATCTGCCAAAACCAAAAACCATTTTGATCTCCCTGTGGTATAAATATAACGCACAATCACAAGTATATGAGGACTTAAAAATTAACCTTTTGTGGTAGAAATTTTGTTCTATGACGAAAACTTGATTTCACCACGAGCCATTGGATCTGGTAATTGGAGACACTGCAAGTTGGGTGATCTCCACGTGTGTATTTTGCTCTACTACCACTGTTAAAGTGTATGATCCTGGGCAGGTTTGTTGGTTGTGGAAAATGAAAATTGATAGTGCTCTCAGTGTCCCACCTCACAGATACTAAAAAATGTCTATAAAGCATATTTACCTCTTGGGAGATAGGCACTATGTAAATAAGGTAACATTTTTGTTATTATAATTTTCATAATAATACTCTTTTCTTATTTCTAAGCATTTCTGAGAAATCATTTCACAGTCCACGCCAACCTATTATTCAGGGTTCCTGCATATGTGTGGGTATCCTCTTGGCGCACACATATTCAAAGTTTATGGGTACATCAGATACATAGTATGTGTACATAATATCTCTGTGAACATAGTTAAACACATTTCTTCACAATATTTTAAACTGTGAAGAACTTTATCATTCAATAAACTTAAAACAAGAGGTGTCAAAGACTCAAGTTAGGTGCGTTTTACCTGTTGATGACATAACCATTGCTTTAAATGTTTAGACAGTAGAATATTGAATTTATGCTCTATTTTTATTTAAGCAGCATTTAATGTAAAAGTACAATAGGCAAGGGAGTCCAAATTTCAAAAAATATGTGTTTTAGAGTTCATCTTTGGTAAGATCTTTAGTTCAGGGTACTAGTTGTTTAAAAGTTCATTCAGATTCTTACCTTGTACTAAAAAAGGTTACAATGCCCCTTAAACACATGCTGCAGCTTGATGAAAAATATTTTGATCCTTTTTGGAGAACCAATCAATGTTTAAGAAAACTGTTTAATATGTTGGCTGTGCGTGTGTGTGTATGCATGTGTGCGCAAGTGTGTTCTGAGTCCACTATTTTTTTTTTTTCCTAAGTAACACTACAGGGATTTTGTCAGATTAGATTTAATCTAGAATTAAAAAAAAAAAAAATCATTTAGTGTGTGTGACCTATAGGCTTAGAAATGGTACAGAGACATTTCATCCACATTTCTAATATTGGGCTTTATTAAATAGAGAAAATCAGCCTCTGTTGATGGCAGTGGGAGAAATAGCCAAAGTTGAGGATTTTATGTGTCTTTCTGTTTCCCTGGAAAATTACAATTAATTGGAATTTTTTGGAAAAGATTGCCTTCTGTATAATTTTGGGATTATATAAAACTTCAAGAATGGAAAGAGCCTGCTTTACTATACTCAGCCTGTTACTTTAATGACATGTGAGCAGAATGCCTTATTTTGTAATCTTGTTTAACTTGTTGCTACTGGGACTTGAATTTCTGTGGCACTTGTTAAGTAAGTTAAAAAAAAGAAGTTAAATCCTCTCATTATTAAAGAGGAAAGGTGATGGTGATGTCTGTAATACAATATAAACCATAATTGTGATTTACCTTACATTGGTAAGACTTTTATGGGATATACAGTATAGTTTTTGTGAATTATTTACACGATAGCATTATCTTTTTATAATTTTTTTCCTATGATAAATGCATAGTTTTCTTCTATGGGGGATAGAAACGGCTTTTTGAAGTAATCCTGAAAACCTCAAAGATCATGTTTATTCTTAATTTTTGCCTTTTGCATAATCCTCTTTATATAACATGTTATCTTCAAAACAATTACTGTCTTTAGGAATGTGTAACGAGAAGTATGTTAGTATTGCTTATAAAACTTTAGTTAGGTTCAATATATACATGTATACATCTATATATAGGTATGTAGGTTTGCATTTTGTCTTGTAAAATTTTATTTGAACAAATTCTTCCTGTAGGTAATGGGAAACAAAATTAATAGTTCATATGCCACTTGTAGCATCTCTATATTTGAAAATAGCCCAGTATTAAAACTTCTAAAATTAAACCAGCAGCCTATTATAAGCACATTCTTTGATTGAGTCATTGGTTATAAACTTACTAAATGTGGAGAAGACAACCAGTTTGGGAAACTTCTGAGTCGGTGGGACACTGGTGATTAATTGATAATGTACTGTATGAATTAAGTGATGCTTTAACTCTGATTTTACATTTTAAACTTCAAATGTGGGCATTATGTCAGCAAACTTAAGGGCATTATGTCAGCAAGCTAAAACTTTTTTTTTTTTTTTTTTTT